ACAATATGCGCGGGGGCGGAAGCCGGGGCACAAAACTGGATTCCCGAGTTCAACGCTTTGACGGTTTGGTTCAGGAGGTTGGTTATTAGATTTTGACTGCGCATTCCTCAAATTTTTGCGGAGCTTTAATTAGCTTTCGTCTTCTAACGCCCCTTCATTTTTGGCAACCCCTCATTTTTCTAAGCTGCTTACGTAAGCTTTAGAGCAGAATAAAAAGATGTAAATTTACCAGTTATTTTTTTCTTACGCGGCGTAGACGAGCACCTGGGTCGCACTTTTTTGTTGTCTACTCGATCCGCCACCCCGATCCCCCCACGAAGGGCCAGAGAAATCGGCTTACTCCGTCCTAAAACTTCACGCTCCTGACTTCAAATCCGGATTTTCGGGATGATATTTGAATTGTGGGAGCAGATCACGAGATCAGACTTCAAAATATTTAGATCAGCTAGTCATTCGATCAGCTGGGCGCATTAATGACAGTCGCATCTCAAAAATATCTAGTAGGGTCCGCAGCCCATTTGTTGGCATTTCCCAAGCCTCCCCTTTCCACTTTAATGTCCCCAAAACGACCACTGCTAGGCCTCCGGTCGACCAATCGAAGCATGTAATTCTTGTCGTTTTCTCTCAAGATCACTGCTAGTACGCTCAGGTTTTTGGCGAAAATTTCCATTATGGATTGCAGCTCCGCAAGTTTAATTTTTAAATTCGATACCTCTAAATTTTAAATTTTCTGTTTGAATAATAGCTTTTTACAAGCTGAAATGCTCTCTGCTAGCCTGCCCTTTCTCTACCTCGTGCCGACCACGTGCTCGCTTCAAATACCAAGCCCACATCTCTGCCAAACGCTTCCCCAAAAGATCTCTGCTAGCCAGCAGTCCACTTTTTGTCACAATCACATTTCTAATTTGTCGTGCTGTCTAGCCGGGATCACTTCTCAAAAATGGGCACCCAGCCGCCCTCGAGATAATTGCCGAATTGATGGGAATTCCCTCATTTTTTCGCAAAATCGTCGTCCCGTTTAGTCTTTCGAGAAAAGAGGTCCAGTGAAAGAGGGAGGACAGAGGTCTCGATTTCTTCCCCTCCGCGCGGCTCCTTTTTCCTTGTCGAGAAGGGGGGGGGACGGTTTTGTCGACTGTGTGGAATGCGCAGAGACAATTTATGGTGCTAGACACCTCTCGGCTCACCGCCCAACACCCCGCCTCGATCATCGATTTTGCCATTGAAATTCGCTACTCAGGCGCTAATTCATTCGAAATTGCAGGTTTACAGCTTTATTTTAAGACATTGTTCTGGTTTTGAAAATGCCAAGATCTGTGAGAAAACCAATATTAGTTTTCAGAGATTTATCCCAATCTTCACTTTTTTTGACTAACGAATAAGCAAAACTTGCGTTTCGTTTCGATCGAAAATCGATCAATTTGGGTCGAGAAATCTCTTTTTTTCATGTTTTGAATAAAAATTTTTATAGGCTGTTGACGTTAGAGAATAAAAAAACCTGGAAACATTTTTTCCATTAATTTTAGAAAAATCGGCTGCTTTGCCGGTGCCTTTAATTCCGAGAAAGCCTAACCATAAATAAGTAGTTCCAATGCCAGGCAAACGCTGAAAAATCAGCTAACCTAATTTCGTGTTTATCAAGAAAAATTCCGCTACGTTCCAAATTCCAATTCCTCAGTTCTGTTTACTGGTGCTCGGGCATAAGTGGGTCAGCCGTTGCTGCTCTTTTTACGCGTTTACTGGACTCCGGCAAATTCCGGTACCGCTATGCTCCTATAGTACCCCCGACAGATTTATGATGATGCCCCAATGCATCACAATGGCAGTGATTTTTGATGAGTTCCAGGGGGAGCAGAAGGAAGAAGAGACCGACTTTTCTGAGAAACGAGTATGCCGTTTGACAACAAAAAACAAGACCGTTCGTGGTAGGAGCATTCTGGAAGGTTGTCTCGACTGGTTCAACTTGAAAGTGCGTTCTGGTATGGGTGATTAGTCGGGATTTACGAGCTTATTATGAATAAGGGACGAGAAACTGACGTGACTTGTTTAGACTATCCTCGGTTTAAAGGGAGCGTGCCTCCATGTTAAAAGCACTAGCTCTCCCTCTCTCTCCATATGTCCGTCTATCCGCCTCTCAACAAATTTTGCGTTCTATAGCTCTTTCGTTTTTTGGCTTCTCGAGCTCCTCATGTCTCTCAGTCGCTCGCTCTCTGCCTCTCTCCCTCTTTCTCTCGATTGCTATTGCTCTCTCTATTTCTCTCTCTATCTCTCTCTCTCTCTCTCTCCCTCTCTCTTTCGCTCTCGCCCTCTCTTCCGCTCTCTCCTTCTCTCTTTCGCTCTCTCTGCCTTTCTCTCTCTCGTTCTCACTCTTACTCGATTTCTCGTTCTCAAACTTTATCTCTTTATCTCTCGCTTTCTCTCCCTCCTCATGTCTCTCGGAGTCAATCGCCTCGGCTTCCTTCCCTGACGAGTTGCTAAATAAACTCTGCTAACATAAAATAACAAAAATTCGGATAAAACTCTCAGCTTTAGAGTGGGTCTATCCCTAACAATCTCTGCTAGCCTACCCCCAATCGTTTTGATTGACGCCTACGTGCCATGGCGTCACTTTCATGATCAAATATACAGCCATATGCTCTCTTCGGGGTGGCACTCGATAAACTGCGCGACGCGAGTCGGCGGTTTACACAGGTATCGGCTGACTGGTGGCAAAGGGCCCGCCCAGTGGCCAACACCTTTGGGCCCCAGTTTACCCTCATACCTATTCCCATGTCCAACCCCTCGACTCGCCCTCCTGGGCCCCGAATTCTCAAGTGCTAACAGAAAATTTGCCCGGGCCGGGCGCGCCACAGTTTAACTTGGGTTTGACGTTGGGGTTAAACCTGGTGAACTCGGGTTCAATTCGTCATGCCCTTTCTAACTGGTCTCTGCAAGCTTGCTTTTCCTGTAAAATCGTGGTTTGTTCGCCTTTGCCTCTATCATACATTCTCTACTGGCTTGCGCTGACTGCATTTTTTTCTCTCTTCTGTTTTGCCGTTTCCCCCTAGAAATGCTACCAAATTTTTTCTCACGAATTTCTGAGGGTTTACCTTTCTCAAGAATCTCTGTTAGCCTGCCTTTTCATAAAGAATCTCTGCTAGACTGACTCTCCTCAAAAATATCTGCTAGCGAGCCTTATGATCAAAAATCTCCGCTAGATTGCCCGTCCTCGGGATTTTCTTCTAGCCCGACGTTCCTCAAGGATCTCTGCTAGCCAGCGGTCGGCAAAAATCCCTCTAAGCTAGACTTGCACCTGAGAATTTCTGCTAGACTGACTTTCCTCGAGATTCTTTGCTAGATTCGACTAGCCTGCTCTTTCCTACAGAATCTCGGCCCTCAAAAATCCTTGATATCTTGTCTCTTATGAATCTCTGCTAAATTGCCTTTCCTACAGAAACTCCGTCAGGCTGTCCTTTCCCAGGGGCCATGCGGTCCAAAGTTGCTGCGAGCTGCAGTTTCTGGCTCCCTCCGTTTTTTTGGGACCCAAAGTCAAAAGAACCCAAAATTCCTGAGGCTCCTTCCCCCCCCTCAAAAATCCCTGCTAGTTGCCCCTTCCAAAATTATCCAAAGTAGCCCACTGATCTCCGATTTTTGCAATTATCAATTCCGCATCAATATTTCACATATCGTTCCAGCCGTTCGATTTCCAGTCACATTTCCCGGTCCAAGATCGACCGGAGTCGAGCCGTCTACGCGTGCAATTTCCGTTCCCTTGAACGACTTGTTTATTTCATCAAGTGGCGAGACTTTACCCCCATCCCCATCTTGGGTTCAAACTGAAAAACACGGAAATTAGCTCGAAATCCGTCTGTCTGTAGTCTGACGGATATCTTTGCTTACTTGCTCAAAAACAGATAGATGGATGGATTACTTTCCGTGCCATCCCTCATTCCATTTCGTTTTTTCCTCGAGTGGGTCCGATTTCTCTGAAATTTGCTGCCCTATCGATGCATCCCAAGTAGTTTTTATTGACCGAAAAAACAGGGATTGAACCTAAGAAAGTTTGGTTCGGTAGACAATTTTGTAAGTATTTTTTCAAAACACTGATTTAATGGAGTAAATGAGACTCGCACTTTATGCTTCTAATTTCATCACGTTTTCTTAATTCCTGTTACTCACTCAATAGGAATTCTGGGAACGTAGAGGGCAAACTTTTGGTAGTAACTCTCCCCGAAAAAAAAAACAGGAAAAAGTGGGAAGAAAGAGACGGAATTAGCATTCGGCAAAGACACATTTTTGGGTAGGGAGTGTCTGTGATGACGTAGAGGAACTATTTTTGATTTGCCGTCCATTTTGGCGCTCTCGCTCTTTCTTTCACTCACGCTCCCTCTCTATCTATCTCTCGCGCTCTCTCTCCCGCCCTCGTTATCGCTCTCGTTTACTCTTAATATACCAAAAACCGTACATGTCTATTTCTCGGCAACTAGACCCACCTTTTCTCGCCGTTCCCGAATTGACCTTGGAGAAGCCAGTGTGAGTTGCCTGTCGGTTTGTCTATCATTACCCACTTCCTCAATCAGATTTCAAAAAAGGCGGTGTTTGGCTTTATATTTGTATTATCGTCGCAATAGTCTTGTTTTCCCACGGTTCCACTTTCAATGGCATCTCCAACTGATCGAGCAAGAGCTCTCGCCCCCATCAGCCCAAATAATCGAATCAGCTCCACGCCCGCGCGCGTAGTATCATTGTTTTTCAGAATTATCGATTTTGATTGGTAGATCGTAATTCAGACTGAAGTGTAGTCCAGTAAAGTACGAAATTGTTAACGGATTGCGATACCATATGCCAGGGGCGTCTTGCCGATATCGATAAACTGCGCAATGCTACACTGTTCGGCTCTTCTTTTTCAATTGTATGAGTGAAATCCGATTAGAATCCGATCTCCGTTCTGTAAGAATTTTCTTATTTACTAAATTTATTAAACTTTTCTAGGCCCCTCGATCTCATAAATTTTCCTTTTTCAGATGGGCCTCTACGGCCCATGGTCACCCTACGGGCAAACGGGTCGAATAACGCGGCGGCTATTCTATTTGGCAAATTTGTTAACGTTGGTAAGTATTTATTTCAATTAAAGTAATACAATTTAACCAAAAAATTCTTTGTTTTTCAGTTTTCTCCCTCCTTCCTTTTTATCGGACTGGCGCCAGGACCTAGTTCTAGCTTAGGAGTCAATATGCGAGTATTAGAGCCTTCGGTGAGTCTTTCTCTAGTTCACTGTGTCTCTCTCATTCATCTCTTCATCTCGCTCCAGCTCCCCTCTCTTAAAAAATCATTCTAATCCCTAACGACATCATTGGCTTTTGGTCGGCTTGACCTTGAAACCCCCCAATCAAAGCAATCACAATAAGAGTTCCCCGTTTTTCGTTCGCAATTCGCCATCTAGGGTTGGGGAAACAATGGGGGTGCTGACTCCGAGAAGCTTCTCTTGACGAGATCAAACCAGGGCAGAAGGGGAGATCAAAATTGATTTGTGGGGTGCCATTTCGTGGAAACACCAGCGCGTTCGGTTGTCTACGTGTCAATTCGTAGTTTAGGATTTGGCGTAAGAGCATAAAATCAGGGTGTATATAAAAGAAACTATGGTTTGCCTTTTCTTGACGCTCCATAAAGTACGTTCTTTCCAGTTATACGTAGACGTGGGCAGGATCATGATCGTCGTGTCGATCATCAGTATGATCCTCTCGGTCTACGCCGTCTACGCACTCGTAAATGAGTTGCGATGTGGAATATATTTTGTAAGCGGTCTACCCTTGCTCAAAAGTTATTATGATATTTTCAGTACGGTGTCGGCTCGATCGTCACGTTCCTGATGCTGTTCCTCGGAGGCATCATGGGATTCGTGTTTTGTAATAAGGTACGTACCGAATTGCCTAACAGTGCGTTGCATAACGCAGAATCGTATCGCTCAACGTTGTGTGGTCTTTGTTGCGTAGCTCATTCAGTTGTTGCGTAGTGAACCGTATTGCGTAGATTACGGTAATCCTTGAACGTGCATAGCGTACTGTACCTTAGGTTACCGCAGCCAGGTAACATAGCGTACTTACTAGCGTTTATAGCATTATTTCCGTACCTCGTGAGTTCAGGCGTTTTCCAGTTGACAGTCGAAATCCCGCTCGACCTCAAGATGTCGACCTCACTGCGGGAACTCTATGGGTCCCCCGAGATGCCGAAGGTCAAGGAGGCTTGGGACGAGTTGCAGTTGAATGTGGGTTGCAGCGACTTTTATGGTCGCTCCTTGTAAAAAATAGCTGCGATGAGACTTAAAAAACAGGGAAAACTTCATACACCCTAATTTAGTTTCGCTGCTGTGGTGTCAACGGCACCGACGACTACAGCATGTGGCGAACATCGAAGTGGTATATGCACCAGAGGACGGAGAAGATACCGGTACCACATTCCTGGTGAGTCCTCTAGTTTTTTATTACGTCTAATTGGTTTCATTATTGCAATTTTTTTGCTTCGAAAATTGACCGGTGATTTGGAGCTAGTAATGTTTCAGTTGCTTCCCCGGCCAATACGAGGCATGTATCCGGGAAGCCAACGGCCTGGGGGAGCCTCGGTTTCTCTATACCGACACCTGCTACGATCCATTGAAAGCGGATCTCCTGAATGTGGTCGAGGTGGCGGCATGGATGCTGGTTGTCAGCAGTTTTGTCCAGGTTAGGTCGCTCGAACTACATAAAATCCCCAGCCTGAAACTACATAAAATCCCCCAGATGACAACGTCTTGGGGATTGGGAAGTCATATGCACACAAAAAAGCCGTAAGCGACAATCCTCAATATTCTTGATTTTTCAAAAATAAGCCAGATACAAGCGAGATAATAAAGGAATATTAGCCAAATTTTTATGTAATGGCTATCGTAATTACAACAATTATGCCGCGATTTACGGCGATTACGCAACGTTCTCCGCTCTCCACGGGCAATGTAGCTTGTGCGTGCATCTCGTGTCGCTGGGGCGGAAAATAAGTATAACCTATAGGAAGCCATATGCCAGTTGCCAGTTCTTTTAAAAAGACAATATTAGTCTAGAGGTATGCATGAAAGGTCCCGGCAAGCGAATCCCCAAGGAATCTCTGCGAGCGCTTTTGCTAGATCTTGCCCTTGAACTGCTCCGAGTTGTGCGCCGAGTGGCGATTCGTTTCCAATCGAATTTTGACATTTTCAGGGCATCCCCGCCGTCCTGGCTTTCTTCTACGCGCGACTGATCAAGAAATGAACGAGCCTTCCCTCGACATCGACTCGAATTTTCTAAATTAGTTCGATTGTTACTGTAATTTTGTATAGAACCTACCCCTTTTTTTGTACCCTCCGAGCTTTACCCGACGGGTTGTAAACTGCCCTTAACGTTTTTTTTTTTTTTAATTTTCCCCCGTTGCTCAACGCCCCAAAACGGTTTCCGGCCATGTGTAGACAATTATCGAGCTTTACCATTTTTATATGTCATTTTCATTCAGGTTTTGAGATGGGATTTGCTGGATTCAATTTTTCAGCCTTAGAAAATCACGAAAGGTCCATTAAATCCCGTTTTTTTACTTACAAAAATATCCCGGGTGAACCCCCTGTTTTCTTGTGGTCAATTTCTGGTCTCCGAACATTAGTCATCTCTGTCTTTTTCCTAATCTTTTAGGGTTTTGAGCAGAAAATAATTTTGTATCCGGAATATCCAAATTTTCTGCTGAAAATCTAGTTATTTTTTACCGCATACGCCCTCTTTTCCTATGTCTAAAATTCCAAACGACTGCCAAAGGCCCTTCCTTCCCTATTAAACCCTAGGTATACCGTTACTGTACCCTATCCTACGCTACCGTACTCACCGTACTCCCCGACATGTCGACGTGCCTTACCGTACCCTGCAATAGTCACCGTTTATTATTGTTCTGTAAGCTGTCCATGATAATAAACAAACTATAAAGATGGTATTAGACAAAACCGAAAAATTTCCCGAATTGACGTCAAGCGTGAAAAGGCAGTGCTGGAAGGTGCGTTTTAGTAAGAAAAGAGGGCCCGCAGCAGTTGTATTTAAATAGATATAAATAAAAATCAGAAATTATTCATAATATCTCAAAAAAATTGATCTACGCATTATGAGCGTTAAATTACGATTCGAGGCAACGTTGAGAGGGAAATGGCACACTCGGGATGGAGAAACAAAATAAATAAGATGTTTATCATGAAAAATTTTGTGGAATGGTAGTTGTCCCGCGGAAAAGCGCGTTAGAAGATTAGTTTTCCGGGCTGAAAAATTGTATTTAAAGTTAATATATTAGACTATGTATTTTTAAGTTTGCCACCACCGTGAGTCATTCATTTTCAAACTCTAAAAGAACCAAGACGGCAAAAAATCGGCCCATCTTGAATGGATTTGTGGCGTATTTTCGAGAGCTAGTTAGTCTTGTAGCTAATTTTTGCCTTCACGATCCCTTTAAAAGCCTCAAAACCTACTTCAAGCACGGCATCACATCCGAGCCGTGGCTGCCCTGACTCTGGCTAGATCCAGAGCGGTTGGCTTCATCTGGTGGAGACACTTGGGGAGGTTCCCCTTCAGTAGGAGCCGCAGGTTCAGTGATTTGTAACGAGGGAACCTGAAAGATTTTAGTTTTTGAATTGTCACCCGGTTACATTGCCTAGACACACTGCTTTAGCACAATATATTTAATTAGCTACACAGATTTCCAAAAAACGCAAGAACGATAAATCTTTTGAAATTAAGTTCAAAGAACCTACCTGTAACTGAGGCGGAACGGGTGATGGCATGGTCCTTATCGGCAAGACGATTGAGGGCTTGGGTTGTAGCTGGGCGGGTGGCTTCATCGGGATTGGAATCGGCAAAGGTTGCGCTTCGGGAGGCGGATGTGATGGTTGGCGAGCCGGCGTTGTCGTGAGATTCAGTGGGGCGGGTCGCGGTCCCGGCTGAGTGACAAGTCGCACTAGTGGCTGGATTGGTCTTGAAGTCGAGGGTCCGGATGGCGGCCTAGAAATATCAGATTTGTGGATAATGTTTTAAGGTTTTTTTAAGTTTTGATAGAAATGAGCAGACAACGAAGGCCACCAGTGTGTCTTCGCGTCTCTCTCTCCCTCTCTCTCGCTCTCTCACACTCTCGCTCCCACCGCTCTCGTTCCTTCTCCCTCTCTTCCTCTCTTTCTTTTCGGCTTTTTTCATCATCAACCGACTAGGTCTCGACAGTAACAATACCTTAAACCCTACCGATTACTCGGAGCCTTCACATGCCGAACCGGCGGTCTCGAATGGTTCATGCCCATTCGAATCGCCTGTGGCGGGGCAGGGCCAACGGCAAAGGTTGGAGGTGGTCTTTGTTGGGCTTGAGCTTGATAATTCGGGAGGACACTGGCCAGGCTTAATGGAGGGCCCATCAGAATTTGTGGTTGCGTAATTCGCTGGGCTTGAGGCGGAGTTATAATCGGTGCCGTCGGAAGGGGTGATGGCATTGGTGGGATGACCGGACGTTCTGGTGCCGACGCCTGAAATTATAGTAGATTTGATAGGTATCGAAAAGTAGTCGTTATATCTCTCTATCTCTATCTCTCTCTCTCTCTCTATCTCCATCTTTCGCTCTCTCTCCCACCTGCTGCATATTCGCCATCAGCGACGGATCCGGTGGCGGCATTGGTGTCAGCATAAACCCAGCCGGAACCGAAAATGCCTGCACATTCCATTGGTTTGTCGCCTTATCGTGTATCGGCACAAATTGAGTGTTCGTCAATGGTGGTGCTACTGCCCCGGTAGCGACTTGATGTTGTTGTACAGCCATCATCAGCTGCTGTTGGAGTTCCGCTTGTTGGTTCCAAGCCGCTCGTGACGATGACGGAGGCATTGCGGGTTGAGTTGGTCGGTGATGGTTTTGGGGTTGAGCTCGTTGTTGGGTTGGTGGAGGCTGGTGACGCCCCGGACCTGAAACTGGGTGGTTTAAAGGAACTGAGAATCAACCCTCACGGCCTACCGGGTGTCGCAATTTCTAGTAATTTCTCAATCTAGTAATTAAGATCAGCCCCAAGCTACAAACCTGTAGGCACCGCCGCTGGCTGCCGATTGGGACCCGGGACTGCCGTGATAGGTGGAGTACGATTGATTCCGGAGGGTCCGGGTGTTTGTTGTTTCGGTGTGCCCGGATTTGAGTGCCCCTGTGAATTCTCATTCCTATGGGCGGTCTTATTCTGTTGCACTCCAATGACAGGTTGGGCAGGTGCTTGTTGCATGGCTTGTCGGCGGAGGTGCTGGAGCTGCATTTGAGACATCTGAAAAATGTAGGTTTTAACGGTTCCAAAGTGGTGGTCGCGAGTGGTCAGGAGCTTGATAAAAACCTAATCAATATATTTACCTGGCTATTCGGGATAAACCCTGT